AGAGAACAAGACATAAAGAGGATCTAAATAAATGTTAATTTACTTCCTTTGGGGGAAAAAAAAACCCTTAGTAAACTATTAAAGAAATCGATCTTTACAAAAAAAAAAACAAAAAAACATTAAGAACAAAACTTGATCACCATTAATGAGATCTCAGAAATGAATCCAAATACAAAGAAAGCCAACGGTTTTTGACTGTCGTACCTAAGAAAGGTGGCTGGCTATACACAGAAAGCAGACCATGTGACTCTAATGTTTAAGAGCAAGAAAAGAAAAACAACGCTCTACAAAAACAGTAATAGGAGCTATTGTTTACTCTTCACTTCCTCTGTTCCTGAGATAGAGCTAAGTGCTTATTATGTATTAATACATTCCTAACAATTGTGTAGTTTATGTGGCATGACCATTTTGGAGATGAGAAAATAAAGATTCCTTTTTTGAGCAATTTTTAAAATTTGTTTAAGATAAAATAGCTAATAAATGTCAGAGTGGGGATTTTTGAATCAGAGTTCAATGTCCACAATCTTTTTAAAATTTACTAAAAAGTTTAGCTAACAGTTTTTAACTTCTGGGGGAAAGGATGCTCTTGTGGGCTTTTGTAACACATTTTGCCACATTGTATGTACACACAAATTGCCAGGAGAAATAACAACAGCCTTAGAGTATGCAGATGAAACCACTCTTATGGCAGAAAGTGAAGAGGAATTAAAGAGCCTCTTGATGAGGGTGAAAGAGGAGAATGAAAAAGCTGGCTTGAAACTCGGCACTAGAAAAACAAAGATCACAGCATCCAGTCCCATCACATCATGGCAAATAGAAGGGGGAAAAATAGAAACAGTGATAGATTTCATTTTCTTGGGTTCCAAAATCACCATGGACAGTGACTGCAGTCAAGAAATTAAAAGAGGCTTTCTCCTTGGAAGGAAAGCTATGACAAACCTAGACAGCATATTAAAAAGCAGAGACATCACTTTCCCAACGAAGGCCCGTATAGTCTACGCGATGGTTTTTCCAGTAATCATGTACAGATGTGAGAGTTGGACCACAAGGAAGGCTGAGCGCAGAAGAATTGATGGTTTTGAACTGTGGTGCTGGAGAAGACTCTTGAGAGTCCCTTGGACAGCAAGGAGATCAAATCAGTCAATCCTAAAGGAAATTAGTCCTGAGTATTCAGTGGAAGGAGTGATGCTAAAGCTCCAATATTTTGGCCACCTGATACGAAGAGCCAACTCATTGGAAAAAGACCCTAATGCTAGGGAAGAATGAAGGCAAAAGAAGAAAGGGGAAGCAGAAGATGAGATGATTAGATGGAACACAGAAAGCAGACCATGTGACTCTAATGTTTAAGAGCAAGAAAAGAAAAACAACGCTCTACAAAAACAGTAATAGGAGCTATTGTTTACTCTTCACTTCCTCTGTTCCTGAGATAGAGCTAAGTGCTTATTATGTATTAATACATTCCTAACAATTGTGTAGTTTATGTGGCATGACCATTTTGGAGATGAGAAAATAAAGATTCCTTTTTTGAGCAATTTTTAAAATTTGTTTAAGATAAAATAGCTAATAAATGTCAGAGTGGGGATTTTTGAATCAGAGTTCAATGTCCACAATCTTTTTAAAATTTACTAAAAAGTTTAGCTAACAGTTTTTAACTTCTGGGGGAAAGGATGCTCTTGTGGGCTTTTGTAACACATTTTGCCACATTGTATGTAGACACAAATTGCCAGGAGAAATAACAACAGCCTTAGAGTATGCAGATGAAACCACTCTTATGGCAGAAAGTGAAGAGGAATTAAAGAGCCTCTTGATGAGGGTGAAAGAGGAGAATGAAAAAGCTGGCTTGAAACTCGGCACTAGAAAAACAAAGATCACAGCATCCAGTCCCATCACATCATGGCAAATAGAAGGGGGAAAAGTAGAAACAGTGATAGATTTCATTTTCTTGGGTTCCAAAATCACCATGGACAGTGACTGCAGTCAAGAAATTAAAAGAGGCTTTCTCCTTGGAAGGAAAGCTATGACAAACCTAGACAACATATTAAAAAGCAGAGACATCACTTTCCCAACGAAGGCCCGTATAGTCTACGCGATGGTTTTTCCAGTAATCATGTACAGATGTGAGAGTTGGACCACAAGGAAGGCTGAGCGCAGAAGAATTGATGGTTTTGAACTGTGGTGCTGGAGAAGACTCTTGAGAGTCCCTTGGACAGCAAGAAGATCAAATCAGTCAATCCTAAAGGAAATTAGTCCTGAGTATTCAGTGGAAGGAGTGATGCTAAAGCTCCAATATTTTGGCCACCTGATACGAAGAGCCAACTCATTGGAAAAAGACCCTAATGCTAGGGAAGAATGAAGGCAAAAGAAGAAAGGGGAAGCAGAAGATGAGATGATTAGATGGCATCACTGACTCAATGGACATGAATTTGAGCAAACTCCAGGAAACAACAGAGGAGAGAGGAGCTGGCACGCTACATTTCACGGGGTCACAAAGTCAGACATGACTTAGTGACTGAACAACAGCAGATGTTACATTATATTGGTCACTCAGTCGTGTCCGACTCCATATGACTCCCTGACTGTAGCCCACCAGTCTCCTCTGTCCATGGATTTCTCCAGGCAAGAATATTGGAGTAGGTTGCCATTTTCTTCCCCCAACAATGAATGTACACACCGACAAAAAATAGTTTACGTATTAGCCTAAAATAATAGTTGTAGACAATGAAATAGCTACTTGTGCTTTCTTATTAACATATTGCCAGTACAACATTAAGAAGGAACCCAGGCCTAGCTTGCAAGCCATAAACAATAAGAGGAGAATAAAAGGAAAAATATACATCACCAAAATTTGTTGGACTTTGGTTTTCAAACCTGACTTCATGGGATTCAACAGAGATGATGCAAAATATTAAATTTCATTTAATATTGCCTAAATACAAATGTTTCTTTTCAATATAATCATTAAGTTTTCCACTCATTTCACATACAGTATAATTTTAGTAAAAAATTTACTTATATCACTCAATTGTATTCCCTAATAAATGATATTAAGATACATACTAGTTCACTATGTATTAACCCATCTGCAAACCTGAAACAAAACGGTGGTTGGTAACATTCAAATATGTTCATATAATTCACAAAACCTCCAAAACCATCACTACAGAAGTAACACTGACAATCCTTGCTGAAAGTCTTCCATTGAATTTGCTCTATCTTTTCAACTAGAAGTCCAGTTTCTGTTGTCTATATGTTAGCATTGATTTTACTGGTTTAATTAACACTATGAGGTCCTGTACACATATAATTGAATGCTATGTACAATATTATTTTAGGTAGTTGTTTTGCTGTATTTTAGCACGATGCCTAAGGGAACTCTCTCAGCATTAGCAAATCATACAGCATTGTTTCTCCTCCAAGGAATCTGGTTCCCCAAACCAGTCATGATGAAAGCGTTTTTTGCAAGTTTTTTTTATACCGAGTACAAACTTTGCATGAAATCAGAACATCCTACTCACATATGCATTTTACTAAGAAATTGCTCATTAAGATGATACACCAACACACTTCCAGGAAAAACCAGAGAGCAGTCAAAATGTCAATTATATTTGTATGGGAAGTAAACAGGAATGAAAATTTCCACATTGCAAAAATCAAGTACTCAGCAACCTGTTGTACTCCAAAGAAACAATCAGTGAACATAATGCAAGCAACTTGTTTTCCTGGGTAACCTAACCAACAAGAAAACCAAAACAACGTCGGGATAAGGTGCAATAGAAAGCTCCCAATCATACCCAGGCTTGCAAAATCAGTGTTCAGACTGAGAAACATGTGTATCTGGGTACAGGCCCAGAGCTTCATATATTATGAACTTCTATGAACTTCTTCCTATTTATTTTTAGCTGACCTCTGTATCATACAAAAGATCGTTATGTGTGATCAATTTTTAGAATCATACAGCCTGACTAAACAAGCAATATTATGTATACAGATAAAATATCTGACTCTGTGGGTGTGTGTATTAATGATTAATAGGGGTGGAACTAGAACTTTGGGTTCTGCTCATATGATATTTCACCTTAAAATAATTTTTACACCTGTGCTCAGCCTTATCATCCACAAAATGATAAAAGAAAAACAAGCTTTTTTCTGGCACGTCAGTTATAAACACCAATAGTCTCCAGAACCACACCACTTTATAAAACAACTGGTTACAAAGATTAATGTCAGTGTAATCCAGAGAGTGCCAATGCATGTATGAAAATCTTGGGATAAACCCTGTCATTTCTGTGTGACAAGGAACAGTCATTTTTCATAGAGAAAAGATACTGACAATTAGTAACTAAAAAGCAAAAATAGGACAATTCCCCATATAAATAAAAGGCTGCTAACCCTCCCCCTTTTCCTGAAACAACCCAATTTTTTTTTCAATGATAAAGCATCAGTCAAAATTTTACTCTCTTTAGAATATCAAAAGGAAATTTCAAGGAATATAAGGTGTCTCCTAAATATCCAGGAATTACAAACAAGGCAAGTAAAAGATCAGATTTCATAATTAGGTTTGCATTATTTCATTATTAAATGACATTTCAAAAAAATAAATAAATAAATGACATTTCAATTTGTATATCTCTTTATTACTTCCTTTTCTAAAAATTCTTATTTTTACTTTTTTGTTTAGGTTCTTCTGAATAGAAAGGAAGACTATTAGCATCAGGCTTTCAGTTCTACAAACTCCATCCCCTAATTCCACAGTGGCTCAACTGTGTATATACTGGACTATAATTCCGTTTCCCTTGGCTTTTACAAAAATAGAAATAATAAGGCTTATTTACCTGCTTCATTTCAAAAATACAAACATCAAAGCACCTCAGAACAGATCTCTATATTTTTATATCTTTTCACTATAGGAAACACTGTGATGAAAGTCCTTACAAATATAAATGAAAGCAAAAAGCTAGAACTATAAAGTTAACCTTCAAGGAAATTTAAATTACAAATACCCCAATATGGTTGACTCGTGGCCTCTCTTCATTTCCAATAGTACATCCTCAGTTACCTGTGCAAATCACCTTCATAGACAACTTGGCACTGACAAAGTCGTAAGATGGAACTGTGGGAAAGAGAGATGAGATGGGATTCTCTTTTTATAACCTCACCTCTGCTCTCTTTTGAAAAGCTGAAAAATATCAAAGCTAAGCTATTTTTCCTGCTGGCGCCCTAAGAGGAATTATCTCATCTTCCACCTGCCTCCTTGGAATAGGTCTTACAATAGTTAAGCAAGGGGCTCATACATCACTCCAGTCAAATTATCAGATGGGCTCCCTTTCTGTTTGGATACGGAAATGGAAAAATTCACGGACTCCAAATATTATTCAAAAATTCAATTTAGAGGATTTCTCCATCACCAAGCCAAGTGTTATCTTTGACTTCCCAGAGAGAATTTCAGATGTTTTGTATGACTCGGCCACAGTTAAGCATTACCAGGAAATGTGAACCTGCAGTCTGCATGGTTGCAAACCTCAAGAATATTGACAATCATAGGTAACCGTTTAAACACAGAAGCGATGAATTCTTAACAGATGGAACACATCAGTGTTATCAATACCACTGCCCATGTTTCAGAGAAGAAGGCAATTCTGACTCCACAATGGAACTGCTCCTCTGACTTGCTTTTTGTTGCTTTTGTTATTATAATCATATACAGAATGGCCTGCCTCCAAGAATCCTGCCCCTCTGCCTGACCCTTAAACTACAGTGCCTTTGTTCAGAACCCTGTCCACTTGTAGATGGCCAGAAGGGAGAAATGAACACATACTCCACCTGAGGCTTGCCATTCTAGGAGATGTTTGCAAGATTAATGGCCTTTTTACTTTGCTTCCTTACTCTGCTCATCTCTGATCTATGAAAAAACCTGGCATCCAGACCCTGATAAGATGGTTATTTTGAGGCACTAGCCTGCCATCTTCTCAGGCAGCCAGCTCCCAATTAAAGTCTCTTCCATACCTCAACCTGTCTCTTGGATTCATTGGCCCATGGTGCAGTGAGCAGAGCGAGTTTGGACTCAGTAACACACAGACCAGTGGAACGATACTTCTCAGAAATGTCACTGATACTTTTCTCGTCTTAAAAGTTTCTTACATAGGGCTATCACAAAGCACGCACTCTCCAAAAATGAACAAAGCCAGAGTGAAAAACCGCAATCACAAAAGAAGCAGAGTGACTCTGAATCACAATTTCCGTGGAGGGGATTAGTTTGTGCAGTCTCTGGAAGCCCCCAATAAATGGCTTCTTGGCTGCACGCAGGTCTCCTGCCCTCCAGGCTGGATACTTTCTGGTTGTTTCATAACAGCCCGTTACCCTTTTTTGTTTATCTCTGACCATAACAGAAAATCCCTACTGGCACAGGGGCAGAGGAAGAATCAAAACAGAGATTTCTTTAAAGGTCGGTGTTGTTTATTTCTGGAAATCACTGATCTGGGGCTCTTATTATGAGTCCAGGGGGAAAGGGACAGCATCTAATCCTTCATTCTATACACACCTAGCACATTACCAAAACTAAGAGCATGCTCAACTGTAGCTTTCCAGGGTTGCTCTGCTTCTGGATAGATAACCACCTTCAGAAGCTACACTTCCTGGGAGTCCTCCCAAATTGTATTTTAATAGCATGAATGACTTCCAGCAGAATAGGAACAATAGATAAGAAATGCCTTAAGCTATATAATGACACTAGCTAATGTGTGTTGAACAGTTTCTAAGGGCCAGGTAAACACATAAATAGGTTCCTTACATGTGTATATTGAGTCTAAGCACTTCTTTCTTATTCTTGGGGGAAAACATAAAAGGTAAGTAAAGAACATATGGGACTCAACTGCCACCCTTGGATCTTTGAATTCTGACTCTTTCATGTGACAAGAACAACAAAACAGTGATCATGCACACTGCTTCATGCTCGATATGCATGGCCAATGCACTCTTCATTAATATTGCAAAGGCTTGCTTTGTTGCTGTCTAGTTGCTAAATCGAATCTGATTCTTTTGTGACCCCATGGACTGTAGCCCACCAGGCTCTTTGTCCAGGGTATTTCCGGGCAAGAATACTGGAGTGGGTTACCATTTCCTTCTCTAGGGGATCAAATCTGCATCTACTGCATTGACAGGCAGATTCTTTACCACTGAGCCACAAATACTGAAAAGACCTGCTATCACATTTTAAAATAAAAACAATTTTATTTGGATTAGGTATCATGTTTATTATGGGCAAAGCACATCTGTCGAGTTCTTTTTAATATTTATAATGTTGCAAGGTAGGCTTATTTTTCAAATACATTTATACACTTGCTTGATAGTCTTGAGAGTAATATTAATTCATCCATTTTTACATTCTTTCATGAGCCATCTGAGAGTAGCTCTCAATAAGGAACTAGAGGAAATTCCAAAGATATAAAGTCAGCTTCCTTCTTAAGATATTTATTGCTTGCACTGCTTTATTTTTAGAACATTATTGGAGAATTAGAGTTTAAAACTGTATTGAATGAGGTATAATAATAGCAATGGACTGCAGAGACTTTCTTAATCTCTAACACTGGCACCACTGGTAATTTTTAAGCAAACCTCAAAGGATATTATTCTTTCCACAAGGACAAAAAGGTGTGTATGGCTATGGGGAGGGAAGAAGAAGAAGAGAGGGAAGGGGACAAGAGGAGAAAAAGGAGGGCAAGATTGAGAGAAAATACGCTACAATACTCACCAAATCCATACTGAACAATAGGCTTCAAAACATGTGAGCCAGGAGCAATAGCTATCAAAGCAAATACATTCAACAATCTGATCTTTCACTTGACTTAATTCAAAACAAAAGACTTTTGGTAGCAGCTCTTCCACTAGAGCATCTATGTAAAGTGCTCCCTAACTGAGGGAGAAAGTGCCACACCTCCATCCCTCTCCCTCTGCTAGTAGTTAGGGTGACACTCATCCGTCGTGTTAAGGCTACACCTGTCGTAACTAATGAGTTAAGAGTGACCATAAGGAATTTCCAGTGGTCATGTATGGATGTGAGAGTTGGACCATAAAGAAAGCTGAGTGCCAAAGAATTGAAGTTTTTGAACTGTGGTGTTGGAGAAGACTCTTGAGAGTCCTTTGGACTGCAAGGAGATCAAACCAGTCCATCCTAAAGGAGATCAGTCCTGGGTGTTCATTGGAAGGACTGATGCTGAAGCTGAAACTCCAATACTTTGGCCACCTGATGCGAAGAACTGACTCATTGGAAAAGACCCTGATGCTGGGAAAGATTGAAGGCAGGAGGAGAAGGGGACGACAGAGGATGAGATGGTTGGATGGCATCACCGACTCAATGGACATGAGTTTGAACAAACTCCGGGAGTTGATGACGGACAGGGAAGCCTGGCGTGCTGCAGTCCATGGGGTCGCAAAGAGTCAGACACAACTGAGTGACTGCACTGACTGATAACAAATTCGGAAATTATTTCTAAGTCAAAAGTGGGCTTCTGAATAACCTACCTAAAATTTAAATACTGATGAATATCGTTTTAGTGATCATGAGTTAACAGTGTGATCTTTTATTCCTCTTTCTTGTCCTTCGCATCTGTGTTGCAGGGGTCAGGGTATAGGTTTTTATAGTCTCATCAATGATCTCGGTTATAAAATCTGAAGGTTTCAGCTATATCAAATTTTAAACAGAGTAATCAATGCTGAACACATGAAATAAAGTGACGTAACCTATCACTAATTCGTGTGTGTGTTCTCAGTTGTGTCTGACTCTTTGTGACCCTGTGGACTGTAGCCTGCCAGCCTCCTCTGTCCATGAGATTCTCCCAGCAAGAATACTGGAGTGGGTGGCCATTTCCTTCTCCGGGGGATCTTCCTAATCCAAGGATCAAATCAATGTCTCCTGCACTGGCAGTCAGATTCTCTAACACTGTGCCATTTGATAATAGGTATTACTAATTAATGCTCTCCTACAATTGATGTGAAGTTAAATCTTGCTTAATACACAAACTGCAAAGAAAAAGCAAATAAAAGCAAAAATGCTTTTTAATAACCATGTGTTAAACAGATTGTAAACAGGCACTGTTGCAGGTTCTGTGAATACAGTGAAAGAACTTGGCCCCTGAGGGGTCAGGGGCTGGTAAATGCTTCGGAGAGAGTAAAAGTAACCACGTGAGGGAAGCAACAGGAAAGTCCTCTCTGAGAAGGTGCCTTTTAGGCTGAAATTGAGATGTCAGAAAGGAAACAATCTCATGAGGATAAGGAGGACCAGCTCTCTGGGCAGAGGGAACACCCAGTGCACGGGATTTAAGTGCAAATACGTTTGGCATGTAGCCGGAGCAAGCTAGGGAGAGAACAGTACCACAAAAGAAGCTCAGAGGAGTAGGCAAGTGCAGGACTCCAAAAGCTGGAATAAAGAGAGTGGGCTTCCTAAGTGGGATGGGACCTTTCAAGGGTTCTGAAGCAGGAGAGTGATACACAGAGAATGAATTCAGGGGGAGCGCCTATCCAAGAAAGGACACCAAGAAGGTACCATGCTGACTTGGACTAGAAAGTTAGGGAAAAAAGAGAAAAGACAGATCTGAGATACTGACTCTCTGCGACCCTGTGGACTGTAGCCCACCAGGCTCCTCTGTCCATGAGATTCTCCAGGCAAGAAGACTGGAGTAGGTTGCCATGCCCTCCTCCAGATGATCGTTCAGACCCAGGGGTCAAACTTACGTCTCTTACGTCCCCTGGTTTGGCAGGCGAGTTCTTTTCTATTAGCACCTGCGAAGTCAGAAACAATGCTAACTCCTAGACATTTGGCTTGACCAAGTACCAGGTGGATGATAGCGCCAATACTGAAATGGGAAAGACTAGAAGGGGTAGAGGAAATACAGTTCTGTTGTGGCTGTGTTCTGTTTCAGACACCTAGGCACACCAGGTCTGGTGTTTAGTCAAGCAATGTACTTCATAACCCTAATGTTTATAACAATTAATATCAAGATAGGCAGGGAATCCAAAATTCTCATATCACTATTCTGTTGTACTCATTCTCCAAGTATCCTGCATTACAA